TCAAAATATTATAATACTGTAATTTCAGTATAGTCGAAGTACTTAAAATAAATTAATCATTTTCATTTAATTTGTATAAATTAGTATACTGTATAATAAGATTATTTTATTGCCGTAATATGTGAGTATTAGAGATCAACTAGAATAATCTATTCATATTTACTGTAGAGGTGGAAACAACAATTATACGACCAGCAAGTTTCTTTTACCAGAGTTAATGTCACTCGCACATGGGAATGTCATTAACTTCATTGAAAAAAATGGAAATCATATTGTGCACCTAGATAATTACTTGACGGATATATCACATATCGATACTAAAAATCAGTGTGGAATAATCGGTTAAACGCAAAGTCATCATGTGATTTTATCTAGTTATCAAGTTTATAATTAACTCTTTTCTTTTTTAAGTTTTTGTTCTTGATTTGCGCGATAACATCTTGCAGCTATCTAAAAAAAATTCTTTATTTGTTTCAAAATGGGAAAGTTTCACATGATTTTATCAATTAATTTATAAAGAGTGTAATGCAATTTGGAAAATATATAGATCGCTAAATTGATATGAATAAATTGAATCTAATGAAAGATTTAAGAGACAATGACTAGTAACAATTGCATTCCATCTCACTGGACAAAAGCATATTGACGTTTAATATTTTAAAGGAAATCTTACAGAATATTGGTTCAAAGCAGAAGCCAAACCAAATCTCGATTAAAGTTAATCTGATACGGTCAACTTGTCAGGATTTTAACCTTGTCAAGATTTTATGATTTTTACTGACTGCCATACTAAACAATTATCATTTATCATGCAGAAGGGGGTAGTCACTATTATTTATAGGAGATCAGGTGATAAATAACATTTCCCTTAATATTAAAAAATTAAATAAAATATAATTTATTTTTATTGCTCAAAATTATAATATATACATTCCCAAAAACTTAGTTTTAAATTGCATTGATTAAATAAATATTAATTATTAACTTTTTTATTTGTTATATTAATATATAGTGTATCATAATGTATCAGAAGTTATGAAAGTACCAATAATACTCTGCAAAATTACCACACTTTGATATCAATTACAAATATGCTTTCATTCCATCTGCAGAGTTATTTTTGGGAATGGTTGAAGAAAAGACCCAAGTGGTTATAGAATTGGCTGGACTTAAATAGGTTAGAGTGCTATTAGTGATATTCCATGTATTTGGTAATTTGGTGAGTGTTTCATTGTTGCTGGATGTACGAAAAGCGGTAAATGAACCAACATTGAACATAGAGACATCAAGACTCCAAACTTCAGATATATTATTCTTATTTGTGCAAACTATAACAAGTGTTTGGTTGCTAGCATGATATGCAGAAAGAGTATCATTGTCATTTGAATAAATGATTTGATATCCTAAAGAGTTTTTAATATAACAAGTCAGTTTGAAATTTACATACCAGATACATTAGCAAATTTAAAATAATGCAAATTTGCGCAATTTTGCATTATATTAAATTTACTAAAGTATATTTAAAAATATGTGAATAAAAAATCTACCTGGGCGAATGAACTTGGTGTATTGAGCGAATCCATAGAATGCAAGACGTATATTTAGAGGAGAGGTTGAATTACTAAAATTTACACCGATTAATCCCCAATCATAGGCATACTCCTATTAAACATAACAAAGTTTAATATTAGGATATATTTAAAACAAATAAATAAATAAATAAATAAAAAATAAAAAAGTAACTAACCATATCTTCAATTGCTTGCCAATAAATCCATGCAGCTGGCTGTTCAGAATAATGAAATAGAATGTTATAAAGTGCATCATATAAATAAAACATTTCTTTACTATATACAGATATCTGTTGTCTTTTTCACCTTTAGGTTCCTCATGTCGTTTAGAATTTTCTCAGAAAGAATAATGCTAGTAGACATATCACTTGGTTCTCTTGATACCATTAATCCACTATTCCACCATTCGACAGAAAAAAAACTAAGCATGATTCCAAAATACTTGTAAAATAATTAATGCAGTAAATATCCTTACACTTCACTCATCCAAAGTTTCTTTCCGTCTTGCTTTGAAATATTTAAGAGCTCTGGTCTTTGATTTCCTCCATAAGCATGAGTATTGTACTGACTGACATATGATTTAGCGTTATTGTCGATGCATTCTATGGTAGAAACTTCTTGATCGAATATATTTTCATCTACAGCTGAAATGGATGTCTTGTTTGAGAGGCCTTTGTCTTTAAGATAAACACCAACCTGATAAAAGCATTTTTAATAGGTAGCTTTATATTTTTTAATTTTAGTAAAATTACCTTTTTAATAATTATATTCATTTCAGCACAGCTGTAAGAACATCCTTCTTGTCTACCTGTTTAAATAGATAATTTTAATCGTTTATATATTTAAAAATATTCTTATATGAGTAATAATATGAATTTAATCAAAAGTTGATAAAACTTTTGTAGAAACTAATCTCTAAATGATTAAATAAATTTTAGAAGAAAAACCTTTAACCAATTAATTTAATTTTAATACATGTGATAATTTAAATTAAAACATATGATAATTACAATTAACTTGCAGAAGTTGGTCCTGCTATTCGATTAAGCTACTTAAGATTCAAAAATTACACAAAAGTAAGTATTTACATACCATATTCTTGCCAAAAATGATCACCAGAAGGTTCATTAAATGGCTCTAGAGTTCTGAAAGTAAGTCCTTGTATGCTATACCATTTAACAACATCAGTCAGGTACTTGGCAAATGCATCGAAGTAGTTCGGGTTGAGATTATTTGCACTTTGATAACCTCCAGAAGAACAATTGCTATAAAAAATCCAGAGATTTAAACCGATCTTAGTAATATTTTATCTTTTATTTATTTATTTCTTGTAGCCTACCTTATGGTCATCCAATATGGAGGGCTGAAAAGTTCAATGGTATTAGTGCAAGTTTATTTATTTATTATTAGTATTATTATTATTTATTGATTTTTTATTTTTATTTTTATTATTTTTTTTTAAAAAAAAAGATAATATAGTTTTACACACCTATTTGAAAATGCCTCGAATATATTGGCACCACGCTCTCTCGCAGCTATTAGTTTTTGGTACGTTAATGCAAGTTAAAATGTGTTGTATAAAATCTTTAAAAATTTCATACCAAATAAAATCCATCTTTGATTTGCATCCGAGGTCCAATTATAATCACAAGCCTCGCATGGCAGAAAACCAGGCACATCATTCCCAAGCCTCATGTGATGATGAAGTGGATTTTCTCCTCCTCCGATATTATATCGAATAACATTTAGCCCCAATCCCTATTTTTTTTCAATCCGAAATTAATGATTTAAAATATGAATTATTAATAGTAACCATGGACCTAATCGTATGAATATTTTTTGAAAAGATTGGTTCGAGCCCATGTATGGATCCTAAACCATAAAAATCAACAGATTTGTTCTGGATCTGGTATATTTTATTATTTCTTTATAAATTCTGGGCACAATTGAAATTTTTCCGATGACCCAATCGATAAGTTTCTGACGGCACTGATATCTATGTCCAATTGTTGATTCTCGGTTATCAGAACAGTAACCAAATTGATAAGGCAGACATCAGAAACTTATCCCAGGAATAATGAATAATTATAACGAACCAGATCCCTATGTTGATTCTGATTTGACAGATAAAATTTCTGATTACAAATAGAAAATATACGGCGTTTTACATAATCAATGAGTATCATAAAAGAAAGTCCAGATTCAAAATATCTGATTAGTTACGGCAAGGTGGATCCCACATCAGAAGTGGTTACCTAAAATATACAGTATCTTTCATAATTAATAAATATAGACCTGCATCAAAAATGTGACCTAAAAAATGCAGGTTTCACTTTCCGTATTACTATATTAATGGCAGCTAACAGAGTTGTAAAATTTTGGTAATTTATAAAAAGAATCGTTAATGCCACCAAACTTTTGTTACTACCACCTCTTATATAACCCTAAGCGGCCTTAATCCTAAAAAATTCTAAATACAATACTTAGAAACAATGCAAATTAATGTGATTGATTGGGTAAAAGTTAGGGTAAGCATAGTTCATAGAGTTTTCTGAAGGGTTAAAGGCCAAACAGAGTTATGTAGAGGGTGGCATTAATAGGTCTCTTTATAACTTTGATGGTAAATTACCTGTAAATTGTCCATGATTTTGGCAATTACAACCTGTTAGCTAGTAAAACCTATTATCGCTATACATATGTCGTGCAACTTCAGGTATCTGAAGTTGGCACCTCCCTAAAACCGTTAGCTAGTGCGTGCAGGATGATAATTTCAGGAGCTGATTTCAGTGAGGTGCAACTTCGGGACCGTACATTCCAACTTTAGTTGGGTGCAACTTCAGGAGCGACATGTATTTCATCAAAAGCGAATTTTATACGAGATTCCATTGGTAATTCAGATTTCTTCCTCTTGAAATTTTAAGATTTTCAGGATTGAATCTGGGACAAAGATTTTTAGCAGTTCGCAGTTCTGTGGTATACATCACAGGTTGAATGAATAAGTTTCAGGTAAAAATCAGATATATTGTTACAATATTAAAACCGGTGTTTGTTATGTTCCTATACAGGACCTTGTTTTTGTATATCTGCAAGTATTGGTTTTTGTTATATAAAAAGATTATAATGATTACTAATTATTACGAATTTTTTTTATATAGTAAACAACATTTAACGATTTGGTAAAAAAAAAAAAGTCTTACCTAGGGACTTTTATAATAAACTTATAGGGCTATTTTTTATATCCTCTATGCCTATTATTCATACCCCTAAACAAAACAAAAACTTTGAGCAAAGATATCTCGACAACCTCCTGATCAAATTCGATGACATTTTAATTCTATGTGTCTAGAGGATTCAAATAAAAAAATTTCATCGAATTTTATCAAGTGGTTGTCGAGTTGTCTTTGCTCAAAGTTAAAAAAAAAAGCTCAAAGTGCATATCAAATAATCATGTTAAAGTTCTTTAAAATTTGGCAACCACATTATTAAATTCGATGAAATTTTTTTATTCAAATCCTCTAGACTCATATAATTAAAATCAAAAAAATTCATCGGAATTTGATCAGGCGGTTGCTGAGATATCTTCACTCAAAATTCTGCTTTATGCTGAAGATCACGTGAAAATTCAGGTCGGAATTTGCTTATGAAACAATCTTTTAGTGTCCTAACAAAACGTTTTCCTTGAGAAACTTTGCTAGCATGCCCACTAACGCTAATCATATCGTAAGCACTAATCTAATCGAAATGAAGTTCAATGACTACGCCATCAAAAAATTTCACACACGTGACCACGACAAGTTTAGAGTTATTGCCTAGAATTCAGGAGATTATATAGTAAACTAGCTCAAAGAAATTTTTTGATAAGTGCGTGAAAGGTTGTTTCTCTTACAAACTTTTGAGAAATAAGTGCCTTTTGACAAAAGAGGTGTTTTGTTTTGAATTGCCTAATCGACATGTGGTGATGGATAATGGGTTGGAGTTTTTTATAATTCGGGCCAACACCATTTCCGGCTGAAATTTACAGAAATTCTGGTAAACTATCCCGCGAATCACGCGGGGATGCGTTGGATGTTTAAAAAATTGCGATATGCAATTTCCGGCAAAATTGTCCCGCGATAATCAGCATCAGTCAAAATCAGCCATGACTAGAGGTGTGAGCAAAATAAAGTAATTGGTCTTAATTATAACGGCAAGAAATGCCGTAATTTATTATAATTACGACCAATTACGGCATTGGCTCATACCTCTAGCCGTGACAATAAATGTGGGCGTATAAAAAATAGCCCTCTAAATTATTGATATTTGACGGACCTACAGTGGTATTTCGGGTGTAAGCTTATATCAGGAATTTTTGTTTCCTATATTTACCCGATACTTATTCATTTAACCTGTGTAATTTAATACTATATTTCTATACATTTTTGTTTTTAAGGGATCTGCCAACCAATCATGGCACTAGGAATAGCTATATAGATGGGTGACGAATTATAAGTGACGAAATTATTTCCATAGTGCGAAAATTGACGAATACTTATTTCGTCAAATTTATCACCCATCACTAATGTTCAGGATTCGGGCTAATAGCAATTATTCAACCAAACAGATTTTGTTTTTTCATCTTATCTAAAGTATCTTTCTTTTTAAAAGAATGGAAAAGTTATATATTGCAAATCAATAAAATACCTTATTCAAGTCGAACACTAAATCTGCAGAATAGTTCCTAACATCCGGAACTCCGCCAAGCACATTTGCCCACCAGCATAAGCTCGTTCCCCATCCTTCAAATGCTTGCCAGGGATCATTTGGATTAATAAAGACTGTTCTATTCGCATTCACAATGGATAAAATTATACTGACAGTAAGTAAGATTTTAAAACCTGCCATTATTAAACGTAAAGCTCGTCCTTTGGCACAAAAAGTAAGTATATATATTAGTTATGCAAGATGGAGACCAAAATGTATCGGCCTGTCAATTGGGCCAACTAACTTACCAAAACAATTTTCCCGCGATTTATTATATGAGTGCTGCCAAGGGAAAAGGGATGTTTGTTTTTTAAGTATTTTATCGATTATTTATCTGATTCACCATTGATAAAAAAGTAATCGGTTGAAAGGGAGAGTAAATGGTTAGACGCAAATTCATAAAGTGATTTTATCTAACATAAGTTTATAATTAACTGTTTCCTTTTTAGGTTTTCCGTTCCTGAATTGCGCGATAACGTCTCGCAGCTATCTAGTTTAATCTGAAAAAAATTCATTATTTTGTTACTAAATGGCAAGTTTCATATTATGATTTTATCAATTAATTTATAAAGAATGTAATGCGATTTGGAATGTACAATGACTACTAAAATTGCACATATGGGTGGTTTATCACCCAACCAAATTAATAATTGGATATGACGAGTAGCGTAATACTAATTATTGATAATGAAATATTCTTATCTAAATCAATTCATACAGTATATGTCTCTTAAAAAATCTTGTAAAAACTAAAAGACACGCAAAATATTTCGTAAATCCAGATAGGAATCGTCAGTTATTTCGTCAATCGTCAGCAATTTCGTCAATTGTCAAAATTTCGTCAGATGACCAAACCATACAAAAATACTTTGCCACCCATCATTAATCTAATCCCAACCCTAATATCAATCGATTTAATTAAAAAAAATCGGAAAATCAATCCCTTTATTGGATTCATTTCCGTCAGGGATTTTTCAAATTCGTGTAACGTAGATCATTTTTCTTTTTGGTAAAAGATCTTCAATTGGGAAATTCTTTTGCACCAATCATTTGCGCGTGCATCTATTTACACGTAATATTTTTGACGATCAACCAATCAAATCGCAAGATTTTGATCGTCCCGGATCAGCCCGAGAAAAAAATTACAAAAAATACAAAAATACAAAAAACGGAAGTCTAAACCTTCTTCGGGAAGGCAATTTTACTTACACAAACTCATTTCTTCTAACCTAACCTTAACGCGAACTACCCTAACACTAAAACTAATTATAAACACTATTAAATCACATGTGATGGGTGATGGGTAAATAGATGCATCCAATCAGCGGCTGTGTTATTATTTAAAACTGATTGTTATTTTTATATAATAAAACATGCTTTTTTTTAAAATAGAAATCGGTTTTAGAATAACCTTTTAGTATATTGCAGATAATTTCTATATCGCGTAAAATACCTGACTGTCTAGTTCATTAAATTGTCACATAACTTTCATAATTAATCGTCATGTTAATCCTACCTACAGTCTACTCTTGATATATCGACACTCGTTATACCGACACTCGTACAAATCAGTTGATCTATGCATAAATCAGATAATATCTCTCGAAATATCGATGTGTATATAAGTGTATAAATTAATTGAAGATTATGAGTTTTGTAAAATTTGATATAACGAAAGTCAATATATTGTGAGTGATTAATATTGACAAAATCTTAATAATATTATAATTATTTTTTATATTATTGTAAATTTTTATTGTATAATTTAACATTATTTATATTTTATCAAAAAACATAAGATTTATATTTATTATATAAATTATAAACAAGACTAACTTATTGCTTTTAATGGGCACTTGATTTTTGTATATCTAAGCAATTCAAGTTTATAAATATTTATTATTTAATTTATTTTAGTTAGTTAACTATAAAGAATATTTATAATGTTAATTTCTCTTTATTTATATTAATTAATTTAGTGCATGAGTATAATTAGTTCATTATGCAATAACTCATACAATAAATGATTAACTTTTTAAAATAAACCTTGTAGATTATTTTTATAACCAGATAAGTAAGGTCTTAATATAAGTGTACTAAATTATCATATGCTTTCTTATAAAAATAGTTGTTATAATCATAATCAATATTGGTTTTTTAATTTTTTAATATTTTATATAATGTCCAAACGGGTTGCAGAAAGAACAGAACCAAAATATCAAGTAATATATAAAGAAGATAATTATACTTATAAGTATAAAGATGATAACTAAGCTTTCTTTTGACTATTAAGTATATAAGATACAAAAATTATCATTATGTACATACTTTATCGTATGCAGTATGTACGTTAATCGTACGTACTATGACCCTTTTTTTGGCTTTTTAGTTAGTCTCTTATCTAGATTTACGTGCATCTTTTAGTTTTTACTTGATTTTTTACGAGACATATGAATTGATTTAAATAAGAATATTTCATTATCAATAATTGGT